CGCACCCCCGAGATTTGAACCCGGCACCTTCGGTCATTGTGGGCAAGACACTACCTCTAATCTGCGAGTTCCCTGCTTTGTCGGTTGTGATCGGGAATATGATGAATGAATGAAGGTTTTTCACCGATCTAGTCAAGGGACAATTAAGTTCCGCTTTGCCAAGGCAAAGCGGAACTTAAGGAGTGGGCTTTTTGGAGGAACGTGGGAAATTGGTAAGATTAAATGTTGGTGACTCGATTATTGCTTCTATAATCCTTAATGATTAGTGAACTTTGTTTACCTTTTCGAAAGCACGCGAGGCAGCCGCACGTACGGCGTGGGGTCAGGCGAACTTGTAAGCCTCAGTCGTCTGAGCTCATTATACTTTTTCGTGACGGTTATGATCTCCTGCTTTTTACACTCAGCGACTGGGTGTAGATTATTGACAGTGAACACTTAGATTACTTTATTACAGAAAAAAGACGCGATAACTGGGTCGCAATTCTATTATTCTGAGCTTCTGGATCCATGCAAAAGAGGCCATCATCAGAGAAGACGCGAAAGCAGCAAGCGTTGACATGGTTTTGTAGTTTAGCTACGAGTAAATGGGAGAGAGTGGCATTCGTGATTGGTCCATGCTTACGCCGCCGCCTCGTGTCGCGTCTGGTACCGTGTCTTGTGTCCTTGATGTTGCAGCGTGCCTTTCTGGGCACGAACTGGGCCTTGCTTCCTTGGTTGTGCGGTATATCCACATGCCTGTTGATGGAGTTGGAGTCTGACACCGAGTCCTCTAGTAGTTCTCGCTCAATCTTATTAGCGGCACGTGCCATTATTCGCATGCCCGTGAAGTCGGATTCGTGGCTTTCTTCTAGAGTGTGGGTAGCGATCTGGGACGGTGGGCCGCCTTTCTGTAACGCAATTATGGCGTTACTCCTGAGCTCAGCTACTTCCACGCTTGCCAAGTACACAATTAACCAAACTAATAGATCGAACTATAGCAGCAGTTATTCTCAGGAATTCGTCCCAGTTGCCGGTTTCCCTTGATGTCCAACTCAAGGTGTTGCAACGACTGAGGATCGAGCCCACGACAGACATGCAACGCTCTGTACAACGTAGGGCTACTTGTTGGGCTCGAGAATGAACCCCAATGCGCAAGGGACAAGTATATCCCGTGATATGACCAGTACACACCTCATTGTCATTCATTCGTTCAGAAACGGGAAAATTATGGTCCCCCAGCTCATCGTAGTGCAAATAAGGTAAGTACGAAAACGGTTAACTTAAAAGGATGCCTAACACGAGATGCTATGGTTTGTCAGATTGTAAGCCAATGAACATCACCCGCGTGTAAATTTTCGGTCAATAGTGGCTGTTTATGCCTCTGCCTGACCTTGGAAATTTTATAATTGGCATCTAAAACATCATGCCTGTTAATGCATGCCTTGTCTGAGTGCACTGTCTCCAGGTCCTTCCTAGTTGGGCAGGCGCCAACGATTTGGGTCTCCTTGAATGCAAGTGTGTCCTGTGTCGAGTGTCTGTATTGCAACCTGGAATATTTGGCATTTTCTCCTCACCGCTAACTGGTATTCATGAATACGGGTAAATTGAGATTTCCCGGTTTCACCATAATAGACAAAATCCCTATAGACCGGATAATTAAACGCAGGTGACGCTCATTGGTTTACACTTTGACCAAACACAGAATCATTTTTAGGTACCATTTTAAGTTAACTCTTATCGTACATCTCTCATTTGTCTGACGAGGACTCGAACACTTTCATAAGAAGGTTCGTAATCATTTCCCAAAGAACTCCTTCCATCGAATAAGTATATCTCCTGGAATTTCTATATTACAATATGGACAGAAATACGCTACCGACAAAGACAGGGTAGACGGAAATGGTCACTGTTTAGCGATAATATGATGCGACGAATGAGTAATACAGTGAAAGCCCACTTGGAGCCCCGGTACCGATGCATTATTTCAAGTAAGGATATCAAGCAAAATGTACAAACCTCAGACATTACAAATAGACACAAGTATGTATACAGCAACCTTGTACTTCTTAGTCATGCTTTCCTTGGACGCCGCGGGGACAGGTCATGTCTGGCATGACCACCGCTCGTGCGCGAGAGACGATATTAAAACCGCCCATTCAAGGTCACCCTCTGTCTGGCTCACTGGCCAACCATTTTTCAAGGCCAGTCCACAAAGGCCCATGGTGGGGGATTGAATACGATCAGACACTCCCGGAGTAGGCGAACTACTGCCTGTTGCAGACCACCAGACTCGGCGACTACACCGACCGGAGTTCGACTCCGGCCCACTCATGGCTGGACTGCATTCGTCTGGGAGTTACTTACCTATTACTTATATTC